GTGCCGGCGAAACGCGAGCAGCCACAGCCGCAACAAGCAGTAGTGCTGGCGAAGCGGTGGTCCACGGTGCCATCATCGTCGTCCTCGGCAGAAGGTCAAGCCAAGATGATTCAACAACGCCACAACGGGAACCGACCATAAATCCTGGACCCGAGGTAACTCTCCCTCATCCCTGTCCTCCATTCTCATCTTTCCCATGATCAAAGCAAAGCAATAAAATGGTTAGCCAAAAATTATTCTTGGATGTGCAGATACCAAAAAAGGGGAGATCTATTAGGTCAATGAAGGGAATACCAAAAACTGCAACGTGCTTACAGGAGAGTATAGTTCTCGTTTTAAGTTCACAAATATTGCGGTCTATTAAGAAATTAAGCTGAATTTTCCAGCCAGCGTTGCATGTGCGTAGAGAAAATGCAAATTTCCTTGAGATGGTTCATCACCAAAATCTTTGAGAGATATTCCAAGGCGAGTTAGTCTTTCAGATGCTAGTCTGACAACAATTTTTAATTCTTCTATAGCTAACTCAGTCTTATTAGTGCTGTTTTAAAGAACCTAATGGTTTTATTAATTATTATTATGCTCCTTTGAATGCTCATTTCGTGCATCACAGTATGGTTGCTGATGTTCATTTAGTCATTGCTGTACAGAGACATATTTATGTACCTAAACGAACACGCATGAACGAAATGGGCCGACGCGTTTGAGTTGCTCTTAGGGCTCACAAATGAAGTAGGGCGAGACTACCTGCGACGTCCACGGAACCGGACGCGGTGCCGCTGGCTCCACACCGTGCCGGCGGGAAGGGGAAGGCGCACAGCCGCTCGCTGGCCGCCCGCGCGTCGTCTTGCGCACGACGGCAGTTCCGCAGCCTCACGCTTTCTCTCGACTGAGAGTGCGATCCATCCGTCTCCTCCCAGGGGGACTTCTCGTGCTGTGTCGTCCTCCACTTGGCTAGCCTAGCCCTGCTACCTTCCAAGCTTGCAGGGCAGAGAAAGCGTATGAAAAATTGAGAGTACCCTGGAAACTTAAACGCATTTTACTTCTTCGAAATACTCCCTCCGTTCGAAATTACTCGTCCAAAAAATAAATGTATCTAGATGTATTTTAGTTGTAGATACATCCATTTCTATTCATCTTTTTGACAAGTAATTTCGAACGGAAGGAGCACTTGCTGTGATAATAGAAAAACACAGAGTTTTATCCAAAGAAGATGTCAGCCGACACCGGTAGAAAGGGCAACTCCACCGTGGATCACCAGAACAAACATAGCAAATGTTCGTCGACATGTATGTGGCCTTCGATAAGGGTTTTGATCATCCAACCACATGCACCAAATAAAAGCAAACGCAATATTTTCATTTGCAGGGTATATTAGGATTTCTTTTACATAGCAAAAGTAACTTTTAGCTTGGTCTACTCTTGGCCGGCTGTAGGTACGCCCCGTGTTCAATGTCATGCTCTTCGTCGGACGTGGGAATGTCTATCTCCCATGTCTTACTCCTCATCGGAGTCCACCACCTGGTCGAGAATGTTGTCGGAGGAAGTGAGGTCAATGATCGACGTGGACAGTCTAGCCTTGTGGTCGTTACAACCCGGCGCAAACGACGCGGAGCTGCCGACGTTGGCAGTGCCCCCGTCCGCCACCACTTGTGACGCCTCCCAATCCGTGCCGGACGCGATCTCCTCAACCAGGCGCTCGTGCTCAACCTCGTTGACGCGAAGTCGTCACCTCTCGCACAGTGGTGAAGATAGGGGGACCAACAGGGTCTTGGCCCCCCTAACATGGGTTTACTGCATATTTGCTAATGAACAGTGGATAAATAGTGATTATTTGCTGCTAAAAATCAATTTTTCAATGGTTTGGCTCTCCTAATCAGTTTTAACAGCACTTGGCCTTGATGATATATTTTTTCTGGCTTCGCCACTGCTCTCGTAGCGGATGACGCAGGCGTTGCGTATGGACTCGTACAGTGCCCGCTGCCCATCCACAGTGCCTTGGATTCTCCACGGCCATTTCCGGGAGGCCTCCTTGTTTGCCTAATCGTCGGTTATCTGACCTTCGCAAGGCGGTGTTGCTCGAGGAGCTGTAGGTTGTACCGCTACTCCTCCTGCATCATCCGAAATGCGGAGATCGGTGGTGCCGCCTGCTCCTCCCGCTCCACCATCGTCATGATGTTGTCGAAGCGCGGCTGCTCTTGCGACATGGTGAACCCGCACGACTGGTGTGAGCGCCTGGTCCTCATCAGATGCCTCCTCCATCATCCAGTCCTCGTCGTTTGAGCTCTCCTGTAGTGATCTCGTAGGAAGTCATGTGTCTATGCGGCGCACACGCCGGGCTTACATCAGTGCACAAGGTCCGCGATCTCGTGTTGGTGCAACAGCGAGAGCTTCTTTGACCACCCACGGATGGTACCAAGCATTGCGTCGACGGTCATGGAAGAAGGTAGACAAGAAGTGGACCTCGTTGACGCGAAGTCGTCACCTCTCGCACAGTGCTGAAGATAGGGGGACCAACAGGGTCTTGGCCCCCCTAACATCTGGGGTTTACTGCATATTTGCTAATGAGCAGTGGATAAATAGTGATTATTTGCTGCTAAAAATCAGTTTTTCAATGGTTTGGCTCTCCTAATCAGTTTTAACAGCACTTGGCCTTGATGATATATTTTTTCTGGCTTGGCCACTGCTCTCGTAGCGGATGACGCAGGCGTTGCGTATGGACTCGTACAGTGCCCGCTGCCCATCCACAGTGCCTTGGATTCTCCACGGCCATTTCCGGGAGGCCTCCTTGTTTGCCTAATCGTCGGTTATCTGACCTTCGCAAGCCGGTGTTGCTCGAGGAGCTGTATGTTGTACCGCTACTCCTCCTGCATCATCCGAAATGCGGAGATCGGTGGTGCCGCCTGCTCCTCCCGCTCCACCATCGTCATGATGTTGTCGAAGCGCGGCTGCTCTTGCGACATGGTGAACCCGCACGACTGGTGTGAGCGCCTGGTCCTCATCAGATGCCTCCTCCATCATCCAGTCCTCGTCGTCTGAGCTCTCCTGTAGTGATCTCGTAGGAAGTCATGTGTCTATGCGGCGCACACGCCGGGCTTACATCAGTGCACAAGGTCCGCGATCTCGTGTTGGTGCAACAGCGAGAGCTTCTTTGACCACCCACGGATGGTACCAAGCATTGCGTTGACGGTCGTGGAAGAAGGTAGACAAGAAGCGGTGGTGCGCCCACGGCCAAACTAGGGAAGGTGGGGCTTGGAGGAGGTGCAGTTTGTGCCGCGGACGATCATCCTTAAATAGCGGGCCCCAGGCAGACCGAAGGCGGTTTGAATGTGGTGCACGGAGTGGGTTTCTCGTCTGCCGCGCAGGTTGAATATCGGCAGGTAGATGGACGGCCAACAATAGTTTGAATACGGTAGGAAGTCGTCCCATCGGTTTGTCCGATCACGTCTTTCTGACCGACATTAACGTTGCTTGTAGAGCGAGGGGAGGTGATGTGAGTTTCTGGACTATTGAGCCGATTGAGTGTCACGCCATTCAGCTGGCGTGCGGCAGTGGTTGGTCACGTCTGCTCTGAACCAACATGAATGGGCGCCGAGAGCGGATGGACATCTGGAGCGGAAGGTGCGGGGAGGGATATCGGTGGGGCTGTGTAATCGGAGGCTTAGAGCAACTCCAATGGGGCGACCCATTTCGTCCGCCGCCGTCCGTTTGGGTCGGCGCGGACAGAAAAGTCGGCCCAACGCGCCGACCCAAACGGATGCGCGTCCGCTTTCGTCCGCCTGCCGACCCATTCTCGGCCCATTTTTGAGCTGGATTTGCGTCGGCGCGGACACAAGACGGACGCGCGCTCGCCCTCTCTTCTCCCCGGGCCCACTGGTCTGTGGCGCACACCCTCCACCGCCTGCTTGGTCGCCGACGTTTTTTTCCGATGAAAAAAGGATACATAGATAGTTCTTGCGTACATAGATAAAAGAAAAGATCAACTACTCATCGGTTTCCGACTCCGACTCGGTAATGTCCTCCTCCGACGTCTGAATGTAGGCGTCAACAGCCTGCTCGTCCTCGAAGTCCCACACCGATGTTTCTCGCAGCTTCAGTCTCAATTGAGCGGCCTGCTTCCGCGCACGCTTGCCCTCCCGATAGGCGGCTCACTCCGTCCTCCTCGCCTCCCTCTCCGTCCTCCTTTCCTCGTAGAACTGACGTTCGTCGACGATGTCTTGCGGGAAGCGTTCGCGCCACACCATCAAGGCTTTCATGTCCATCTCGGCGATGGCGAGGCGACGCTGCCGCCTCCGGTGGACGCGACGATCCTCATCAGTGAAAAGCCGCGGGAGAGGCGCCAGATCCTGCGCCCGCTGGCTCGACACGTCAGGAAAATTCATCTCCCGACTAGGCCGCCGGAGGCGCCACGCCGCCGCATCGTACGCGCGGGCTGCCTGCTCTGCAGTGTTGAAGGTGCCGAGGATGAGGCGTTTCTCGCCAAACAAGATCTCGACGGAGAAGGCGACGGAGGGCCGTTCACGGACTCCGCGAAAATCCGAAGCGCCGAGGCGGCGCATCGACATGGTGGCACAGAGGCGGCGAGGCTATTGAGAGGGGGCGAGACGAGTGGGCGGCAGACCGAGTGTGGAGGGAGCGCCGGCTGCGGCACACCAAAACAAGCGCGCGAACCTTTCCCGCGCTCTGGAGCGCCAAAACCAGCGCGCGCTAGGCCTATTTCCCCCCGCGCGCGAACCTTTCCCGCGCGCTGGAGCGCCAAAACCAGGGCGGCAACATGACCATTGGCATGATCTAAAAGCACGCGCGGTCATGAAATAAGCCGGCACGTTGGGCGCACTGCCGACTAAATCTAAAAGGACGGACCGCCGATCCAAACGAACAAAAAGCAGATAAAAGCACCGTCTGTTTGGGTCAGCCCGTTGAAGTTACTCTTACATAGCGCGAGTTACGCCCACAAATCTTCCGCTGGTTTGGTACCTGTTTGTAGGAGCTTGGACATCAAGATGCGTTCATGGATATTTAAGATACGACGGATCACAATCTGCGCGTCCGAATGGAGAGGTGCGGACGTTTTATGGGAGGTTTGATGTACACGTTGCCTAACAGTGTTAAATAAAGTACAGCATAATATATAGTGTATTAAAATCGTCCCTCCTCGTGCGCCTCATTTTCCTCTCCAATTCGTGGCGGAGTGGTGTCCTCTTCCCAGCCAAGCCAGCTGAGCCGAAGCTGCAGTTGCGAATCAGAGAAGTCACCGGCCTCCCCTCCTCTCTCTTCTCCACGCCCCGAGAAATCAAAAGCCCACGTGAGGTACCCCTTGCTTGCCAAACTCCCACTCCCCCGCATCCACTCATTTCGCCCCTCTGTTCCGCCGAATCCTTTTTCGTTTCTTCCGGAATCTGATGCTTGATTCCGCCGGCTCGCAGCGCCTTAGGTGAAACTGATTTACCAAAGGTGTAGTTTTTGGGATTCTGTATGTTTGCTGCATCTCTTTCTGGTAGATGATCAGGCAGTCTTGTTGGACGAAATTCATGAATTTTGATAATTTGGCCGTTAATTGACGATATGGTTCTTTTCTACCCTGATATATGTTTCTGGTGATTTCTTGACTAACTGTAGTTATTCCTTCTGAGAGAAAGCGTGTAGTTGATACGTAGTAACCATGTGGAACCAGGCCATTACTTATTTTGTTGGAAACTGGGAAGATCTTGTATAATTTAGGTCCTTCTCACTATTGTCTCTACCTTGTACTTGTGGTTAGAATGACATTTCATTGTGTTCCATATTTGTTTCATACTAATAATGGCAAGGTGCTACACACAGGGGCTTTTTGATTGTCCAATGGCGATGATGATGGCTGATCTTAGCTTTTCAGCGTCTATATCGAATGCCAAGCTACCAAGGTATGGAAATGACTCTTCCTTGGCTAAGAGATCTTCAATGTTCCGAGCAGAAGCCCGGTCCACAGAATCCGAGAAATATACTACCAATGGCCGATCGATGAAGATGGTTCCAACAACCGAATTGATGAGGAACAAGGGCGGTGGCCGTGCAAGAACTGATACAGTTAATGGTTCTTTGAATGGAGCTGTCAATGGCTCGACCAAGGCGGTCATCAATGGTTCTACAAATGGCGTTGTCAACGGTTCGACCAGAGCAGTCATTAACAGTTCTCCAAAGGTGGTTGTTACTGGGACCAGTTTGGTGAATGGCAGCAACATGTCTGCTCTAGTTAAGACCCAGAAGCAAATGAGTGCTAGAGATGATCCCTTTGAAGAGGAGCTCAAGGTTTTGCCATCTGACGAAGGATTCAGTTGGGCAAAGGCTAACTACAACTCTGTGCAGAGGAGTATAGATATCTGGTCTTTTGTGCTTTCTCTTCGAATACGTATTTTATTCGACAATGCAAAATGGGCCTATCCAGGTGGATTCTCAGAGGAAAATCAGGTACATTAACAATAAAATGGCTAAGTAATTTAACCAGTAATTCTATAAGTTCAATCAAGTCAGGAAATGAAAAATACTGTAAGCTGTCATTTACTTGAAATCCCCAATGTGAAGGTGGTCTTAAGGTCCTGTTGTTAGCACATGAGAATTTTGCTTTAGTAATGGTGCAAAACCGCATCAGTTTTGACTGCTGAAATGGGTGTATTCCTGTTTCACTGCACATGTTAACTGGAACCGCCTTTGAATTCGCAGAAAATCCGGAGGAGAAACACTGCTTCATGGTTAAGAGAACAAGTATTGCAGCTTGGCCCAACTTTTATCAAGCTTGGACAGCTATCCTCCACAAGATCTGATTTGTTCCCAAAAGAATTCGTTGATGAGCTTGCAAAATTGCAGGTATTCATTCTTTGTCTAGGAAATTTTGCAGAAGGCTTCCTTTCTTTATCTCCTCTCTTCTGTTAAACTAGAATTATCTCTTTCTCCCAAAGGATTATTCCTGTTTACTGGCTGTAGTAGTTTGTTACATGGTGTATTTCTTTAACAAAATAGTAAACTTGCACCATGCACCTTTTGCTTTTCTGCAGGACAGAGTACCTGCATTTTCTCCTGAGAAGGCAAAGGCTTTCATAGAGAAGGAAATGGGGTGTTCAGTTGATGTTGCGTTCAAAGAATTCGAGGACCGTCCAATAGCTGCTGCTAGTCTTGGTCAGGTGCTTAGTTCCTACATTATCCAGCATACACATTTTCCCTGCTCAGTGACAATTCAGGCAGTGTCATATTATACCATTATTAGTATTTAAGAAGAATATAAAATATACATATTTTTTCTTTCATGCTAGAGAAACTATTTAATTACAATATACATTGTTCTTATTTTCATATGTAAAATGTTTGCCTATAATTTGTGCCAGTTTATATCTGATGTCTTTGTCTTCTACTGTGACATACTGATGATACTACACCATTGAGATTAGTGGTCATATTTGTCTAATGTCAGTCTTGATGATCTTTATGCCATGTTTCTTCAAATTGTACTTACAAATTCCCGTGATATCAATTTTCAGGTACATCGTGCGGTGCTTCATAATGGAGAGAGAGTTGCAGTGAAAGTTCAGCGACCAGGGCTCAGAAAACTTTTTGATATTGACCTAAGTAAGAGACATGTGTTATTGGTGTTCTTAAGTAGAGAACTATTGGTTATTTAACAAACAGGACAAATAACTCACATATATGTTGTTGGTGTTCTTAAATCGAAAACTATTGCTTATTTAACAAACAAAACTAATATAAGTTGAGATGATTTGTTTATTATTCTTGAAAATATAGTGGTTACTGTTCTAATTAGTTCCATACTTCCAGTGAATTTGATAGTTATTTTATCTTCTATACATAAAGAAATAGGTGAAATTAAGAGCTTATGTGTTTCTTCCTTTTTAAGTTTTACTACTCATTTCTTGCATAAGTTTATAAAATTCACAATTATTTCCTGTGTATTATTTACCCAAACTGTTGTATGTTAAATGGTTTATAATTTTCTTAATAATTCTAGTCATCTTTGCTTTCTTCTAGGGAATCTAAAGCTAGTAGCTGAGTATTTTCAGAGAAGTGAAAAATTCGGAGGTCCTTCAAGGGACTGGATTGGTATTTATGATGAATGTTCCAAGTAAGTATACATCAATGTATTGGACCATCCATATGCATTATTTTGTAATAATCCATTATTCAGCTATGGATACGATGTTTTTATTTTATGCCAGTCCCTGTTCAGTAACCAGTTTCTTGCGAGAAATGATGTTGGTTTAGTGGAATGACTATTTGTCTGCCATTTTATCTCATATTGTGACCTCAATTTTTTTTCTAATCAATAAGTGTTCACTTGGTCATGCCAGTGTGCAATTTCATCATGTCTATTTTGGCATTTATCCGTGTAAGTAACTGATAAGTTGACAAAGAAAACATGATATCAAATTGGCAAGGTTCAGGTAATTTATTACATATATTAACTATTTTTGTCTAGGTGATACCTTACAACGGTTACATTCACTAACTTGTAAGAGAGGGTGATATATCATACATGGAACATCTTTGATTACGAAAACAGAGAATACATTGCAATAAAAGTAGTGATTGTCAGCTCTGTTCATAGACAGAGATCTCAAATTGTTCTAGTTTTTAGTATTGAAATTGAACTTTCAAACAGAAGTTGACCACCCTGATTTCTGTGATTTCAGAATTTTGTATGAAGAAATTGATTACATCAATGAAGGAAAGAATGCAGACAGATTTCGTCGAGATTTCAGAAACATAAAATGGGTTCGCGTGCCAGTATGTCTTCTGGACCCCAAATGCAAACTTTTGCAGTGCTTTGTTTCAGTACTCCACTTTGAACATACCCAAAATCATATTGCCCTACTCACAATACTGGATCAAATTAAGAACGGGCAAACATCCCCATGTGGAATGTTTGGAGTGTTTAATGTACAGTGATCAATCTGTCTGCTTGGTCTCTCTGCCTCCAGCAGGCATCCTCTTGCAATCACCTGCCTGGTCTCATGCTGGTCCGCATGCAGCTTGTGATAATTGATACGAAAATCTGCAGAATTCCTAATAGCCTTTCGATTGATTAGTTCAGTACGGTGGTTTCTGCATATGAATGTTGTGAGGCACGATATGGAGCATAAATCCTTTCTGTAGCATTAATTTATTTGGTTTTCAGACCTCTTACATTTCCCATTCTTGTGTTTTGCCTTCCTAGGAAGGCCAATAGCAGAGAAAGTGGGGACATTTTCTGACTTTCTGTTGCATATAACAGCCTATGATATGTTTGGGTTGATTGCTAGTGGGTAGCCCAAGCAGTAAAGGCTTGATCAGGACAGATTGTACTCTTGGACGCTTGAATGTGGCCTGTGGCTTGTTGTACCCCTTTAAATTGTAGTTGATGATTTTACTTGCATTCAATCAGCATAGAGATGTCTAAACTTTCGTTAAAGTGGAGTAATAAAACAAAACCCTTCTTCTTTTCTTTCTGAAATCTTGCTTCAAAGATTAAAATGACTTGCCATTATGCTGCTTCTGTAGCTTATCATGTGGGACTACACAACTGAAAAGGTGTTAACCCTGGAGTATGCTCCTGGTACGTGTTAATTATTTCTTGTAATTTAAAGTAACCTGAGTTAACTTTTTCTTGAGAGTTCGTATTTCACAATGGTTATCCATTTATAAAGTGATTTATTAGACATGTTAGTTACTATTTAGTGAAATCAGTTATGATACCATACAGTTTCTTTTTCTTGTATAGATTTGAAGTACTCCCTCTAATCCAAATTAATTGTCACAACTTTAGTACAAAGTTGTACTAAAGCTGCGACGATTAATTTGGATCGGAGGGAGTAATATATATGTATATTACCTTGTCATGCAGAGCAGGCTTACACAAACTAATCCACTTTCAGTTACTTATTATATATATGATTATGCCCATTATTGATCTTCAATCCTCTGTCTCGTCTGAGAGAATTCTAATAAGTACAGCAATAAATCCATTATATCTAGCCATGTATGATCACATATATTTCTACATGCCAAATTAATGTGACTACCTTCTGGTTCAACTTTTGCTTTAGAAAAGACTTTACATATTGCTGTTGTCTTTTCACTTAAATATACAACGAAGATCAAGCACAGTTTTTTAGCGGACGATTGTTCTTTCAATTGTAACTCAGACCAAAATTTTCCAGTTGTAATGCGGAAGTATATGTTTTTATAACATTTTTTACCATGAAATATTATATTTTAATCTGTTTTCTCATTTATACAGGTATTAAGATAAACAACTTGGCGGTGCTAGACAGCCGGGGATATAGCCGTTCTCTGATTGCATCTCGTTCAATAGAGTCGTACCTAATTCAGGTCAATGTTTTCTTAGTGTACTTGATATGTTTGTACAAAACTCAGTTTAGTTGCTTGTGATTTTGTACATCATTTATAGAAAATGCTTCTCACAACATAGTGTCTACTCTTCTAAGAAAACTGATAGAAGACTTGCTTAATAATTCATTGTTGGGCTATTGCCTTTGTAATTTTCCTATTTGTTGCCTGTTAAATGTGACCAAAACCTGCGGGGATCATGTTTTAACACTGGGCATGTTTTTAGTTGAAGAATTTTTATCTGGGAAATATTAGCCATACAGTTTGGGCTATTAACTGGCTGGTTTCAAGAGAGTTTGCATGATCTTATTAGATTTTTTTTTCTTAAATGAGAGGCCAGGGTAAACACGGCACACTTGACATTGTGTATCAAAAATTAGATGGTCTGGCTCTGCTTCAGTACTAGTCTCGTTTTTTTAAGCCTGAACTCTTCGGCTGCCTTTACTCCACGATTCAAAATTTTTGCCTGGTAAAAATCTCAAAGGATGTTGTTGGCAATAATTTAATAAATACATATCTACCACACATGTTGACTCGTAACTTGTAAGTATCAAACCATACAGTCCTTATAATTTCAAAGAAGTGGCGGTATTGCTAGATGATATAAAATTCCTGGATCCTGTACAATGGTGCAGTTCGCTGCCTGGTTGTCTTAATAGATGTTTAAGCATATATTTTGTATATTCTGTTTTATGTACAATATTGACACCAAGTTATTTATTTTTTTAGTGGATCAGTACATGTGATAGTTATTTGCACTAAGATTTTCATTCCATGTAAAACACAGATACTGAAGACCGGTTTCTTCCATGCTGATCCTCATCCTGGAAACCTTGCCATAGACAAGGATGGCTCTCTAATATATTATGATTTTGGAATGATGGGTGAAATCAAATCATTCACTCGAGATAGACTACTCTCCTTGTTCTATGCTGTGTATGAGAAGGATGCGAACAAGGTATTTTCGTATCTTCAAATGAGTGGTGCACACATAATAGTTTTCTGAATTTGCCTAGCATCTTACCTTACATGGTGTTGAGTAATTTAAGATGCTCATTTTTTGGGCAGTTCATCTATTCTCTCTTTCTCAGTCAACTCTATCTTACAGGTTATAAAAGCTTTAATTGACCTGGAAGCTCTTCAGCCAACAGGAGACCTCTCACCGGTTTGTAGGACATGTTATTTCCTGGGCAGAAAAGTAATTGAAGAAATTTCATTTAACATTTATTTTCTGCCCCCTTTTTTGTTATACAGGTAAGAAGGTCCGTACAATATTTCTTGGACAATCTGCTGAGCCAGTCACCGGATCAACAGCAGACTCTAGCTGCAATTGGAGAGGTTGCCTGACCTTATAATTTTACATGAATCAGTTTGCATGTAAAAATACTGAGATATTGAAGTTAATCCTGTGTTTTACCTTCCCAGGACTTGTTTGCAATTGCGCAAGATCAACCTTTCCGCTTTCCTTCCACATTTACGTTTGTCATAAGGGCATTCTCAACTCTTGAAGGTTCTCCATTCTTGTATATCCTGACAACATTACAATATCTACAGATCCATTTCTTTCGATAGTATCACTTCTGATTTCTTCAGTATTTTTATGAATGCAATATCTTAATGGTTTGGTACAGATATCTCAGTGTGTTCTTGGTTATAAGCTTGCAAAATGTTCCTAATTTACTAACTGTGTATTATAAACAATAACAAAGGAAAAATGCATCTCTACCTGTTGTAAAAGGATATAATGGCTCTAAGCTGCAAAATATATTCATTCCCACTTTGAAGAATCTTCTCATCATTAGAAGGCCATTAGTTATTTTTTGTAAATCAATTTTATGCAGTTGCTACAGATGGGGTGACATGTTTTGTTATGTCGTCTGTGGTTGAGATCAAGACTTGAGAGTGGACTTTGTGCAGTGCGTGCACCTGGGTGATTTAATGAACAATTAGAAGACACACATATTAGATTATAAGAAATCCAAAACCTTTTGTGGATATACATCGTTGGATGGATTGTGAACCTACAAAATTTGAGCCAAAATGTGTCCACGTGCGTCCTGTACAAACAAAGAAGGAACAACTGTCTAGAACTGAGTGTAACTGCACATAACTTTTTTGGTGCATAACACAAATGAAGTTTTTTCGCCACAATCTTAACTTGTGTAAAAAATCAATGAACACAAAGAGTTTTGGATTTTTTTTCATTCAGAACTTGTATACTCCGTGAGTGATTTTTCTAATTCTACCGCCCACTGCCCAGCACTTGACGTTTGGTATTTTGGGAAAAGAATTAGCATAGAATTTAAGGTTTCTAGGGAATGCCGAGCCGAATGAAATGAAGAATATATCTTGAGGACCTGCTCCAGGCCTCTAAACGCTCACACTGATATTCAGATTATTAGCTATGCGATTAACTTCATAAAAAGTTTACCTATTTACCATCTGTTAGATTAACTATTTGTCGGTCAATGATTGTGTTGGTATATTCATGTTTCACAGGCATCGGGTACATACTGGATCCTGACTTTTCCTTTGTCAAAGTTGCTGCACCATATGCACAGGTTAGGATTATTGTCTTTAAGATTGTTTATAATATGAACAAAGTTGTTAACTCCTCAATCCACTATGCACAGGTTAAGATTATTTTATGTAAATGTAAACTTTGTTCATGTACATAGTTCCTCATTTGCTAACTGTGTAGTATAAACAATAACAAAGGAAAAATAATCTTAACCTGTGCATACTGGATGGCGGAGTTAGCAACTTTGTTCATGCACATAGTGGATGGCGGAGTTAGCAAATAATTTGGTGCAGCAACTTTTATTATTATTTTATGTAACTTTGTTCATGTTTTCGCTGCTCTCTTAAATGTTTTCAGAAGTGGACTACAACTTTGCTAGAGCTTGTTACCAAGATAGATCATCTAGTTAATATGCTATGCTCGTGTGCGACTTGTTATTTCTGCTAACATAGTTCTGTTCCATTTTCCTCATAACAGCAGAAACTCTTTATCCTTTCAACATCTATCTGTGAATTCTTACCTTCTTCCATTTGAACTCCAGGAACTGCTAGACTTGAAAACAAGACGAAGAGCTGGACCTGAACTAGTCCAGGAGATAAGAAAGCAAGCAAATGATGTAAAGACATAATCGATATGATTTGTCATTTCCCCTCGTTTCTACGCTTCTAGTTGTTGTGCATGCCATTAACTGCTATCTCCATACATACAGGCCCGTGATTCTACGATCTCAATGCCCTACAGAATCCAACGGATTGAGGATTTTGTGGGGCAACTGGAGTCGGGTGATCTGAAACTCAGAGTCAGAGTACTTGAGGTATGGCTCTGCTGATAACTATACTCCTGTGTAGCATCTTTTTCTGCCATCATAAGTTAATGACAAGCACTTGTGTGCTCAGTAACTCCTAGTTTGAAAACCTAGTGTTTCCATTATTTGTTGCTTTGGTCGGAAGTCAACCTGAAACTTATATAATGGCATTTGCAGTCGGAACGGGCTGCTCGTAAAGCTAACGTACTTCAGATGGCGACCATGTATACAGCCATGGGTGGTACTCTCTTGAATATTGGGGTCGTCATGGGTAGTCAAGGAAACCAAATAGTCGCAAATGGGTCTTTCGTCGGCGCAGGTAGGATTTGTTGCTTGTTTCCTAAAAAAAGTCCGTTCGACAAATTCTCCATAATACGACAACTTTCAACCTTATGTGGAACCTTTCATTATCTTTACTTGTATTTGTAAGCTAACCTGAATTTAAACTAGTGATGTTTTCTACATGTCCTTTCTTGATTGGTCCAATTCTTGCTCCCAACTGAACTTGCAGGCATTTTCTTGGCATTACTGGTTGCATCTATGCGAAGAGTGAAGAAGCTCGAGAAATTCGAGACGATGATGTGATCGCCGTGCTTCATTTTGGACACCTGCACAAAAACCAAGACAAATGGTTCACTTCTGTAAAGAAATTAAATGGGAACTGCTTTCTCATTCATAGGTAAATAATATACGTAGATCATGTAGGAGCCACATTCTTCCTGAAAATGTTGTAACTTGTTGCAACCTGTAAAAATCTGTCCAAACAGTATACATTCTTTTAGCAGAAAGCTCAGATTATTCAGCCGTAAATGATTAAGAAAGCTGGAGGATTTTATGCTTTTTCTTACAGTTCCTGATTCTGTTTCCCTAATGTCCCAAAAATATTGGCCTTTGTTGTTTTGCTTCCCAAGAAGATTGTTTCAATCCACCCTGGAAACTTCAATCCAGTTTCTCTCCAGAATTGCGTGGTTAAAATCGCTTCCAAATGCCTATCCAATAGGGCTCAACCTTTCATATCTCAGCTCATTCATCATGATCAAACGGGTTTCATTAGGGGGAGAGGGATAACTAAATACTTCACTTACGCTGCTAACATGGTCCAATCCTGCATCAAAAGGCGAAAACCTGCTATTGTGCTAAAGCTCGATTTTCAGAAAGCTTTTGACTCAGTTTCCTGGTCAGCTCTATCAACTATCATGAGGGTCAGAGAATTTCCAGATCTTTAGTGCTGTTGGATTCAGAATCTTAGCGTGTCAAAGTCATTCAGCGGTGTTACTAAAAGGGAAGCCAGGCCCTTGATTCCAGTGTTGTCGTGGTTTATAATGGACGAGTCTAAGCAAGTGGCCGTTGGCTCGCTAGCGATCCCGAGCAAACACCCAATTAGAAAACTTTTTGTCTGTCTTTTTTATTGTGTGTCAAAAAAAGAAAAATCTCTATGAACAAGTGTGAATGCACGGGAGCAAGTGTGAACGCATATAGGATTGCTAAAGTACACATAGCGCGGCGCTCCTTAATTGTTGTTTTTCACGTGCATTTAATTTGGGTTTCATTTTTTTTAAAGTCATAACTTTTGAACCGGAATTAAGATCTGTTTTCACCCACATATTTCTTTTGAGAACTCTTCAAAACTAGATCTCATATGAGTATTTTTGACAAACTTTTTGTGTATGAAACTTTAGTCATTGTTAGTTGCAACTACCTGACTAGCGATGTGCAACTTCCCCAATATTCACGGATGTGTAGTTTACATTGTTGGCACCCCCGCCCCAACTACCCCTGCAAGTGAGATGCGGTGTGCAACTTTTGCTGCCCCGGTCAACCCCTAGCAGTCGTTGTGCAACTTTTGCCCTATCCGTGGACGCGCAGTTTTCACCGATGGCACCTCCAGCACCAACTTTTTTCAATGCCAACTTTTGATGCTATATGATACAACTTTTAGTACTATATGATGCAACTTTAGTAATGTAGGATGCAACTTTTTTTCAAAACCAACTTCGGTGCTAATGCAACTTTAGTGATACATGATCCAACTTACCGTGAGGTTGCAACTTAGGCCCCGTTCGGATCTTCTCCAGCTTCACGGAATAGCCAGCTTCCTGAGAAGCCAGCCGCCGCCAGCTTCCGACGGGAGATAGATTCGTTCAGCAGCACTGGCTCAGCTCCTCTCCGTCAACATGGGCTGGCAGCCCAGGAAGCGAGCTTGAGGCCCAGTTCGATGGCGAGTCATGAGAGGGAAACAGATCGAGAAGAAAACGTTTCGCGAAAGATGGCACTTCGGAAGGGAAGATCGAGTATAATTTCCAGCAACTTCTCCTGGAGCCAGCTTCTCGTTTTGGAGAAGCTATGATTCTGCTGCTCCAAGAAATTGCACGCTACTCTGCTCGATCTCCAGAAGCTGGATTCTGGGAGCTGTCCTGTTCGGGCGGCTTCTAGCTGGATTCTTGGGAATCTGGAAGGTGGAGGAGATCCGAGCGGGGCCTTAGCAACCATTGGAACCAACTTCTTCTTTATAATGTGCAACTTAGTCTGTTACCCCAGGCAACTGCCTAGCAGTTGATGTACAACTTTTCCACTACCCATGGATGGACCGTTTCACTATTGGCATCCTTATCCCATCTACTCCTACTAGTGAGATGTGCGACTTAGTCTGCTGCCTCGGCCAACTGCCTAGGCGTCGATGTGAAATCCCAACTCCTCCGTATGTGGATGTGTAGTTTTCGCCGCTGGCACCCTGCCTCAACTACCATACAAGCGAGATGTGAAACCTTGTCTCCTAGCCCAACCAACCGCCTAGCAGTTGATGTGCAACTTTTCCTCCTACCCGTTGATATGCAGTTCTCACTGTTGGCACTCCAAACCAACTACCCTACCAGTGGATGTGCAATTTCGTTTATTGCCCGAGCCAACTTCCTAGTAGTTGATGTGCAACCTTTTCACCTAAGGCATAAAATTGGCACGTGTGCCACTAAGGTTGCATTCTGTAGTAGTAAAGTTGCACACACAAAAAGGTCCGTCGAACCATACTCACACGAGATTTAATTTGGAAGAGCACGACGTGAGGGTTTCAATAGTGAAGGCAAATCTTGATTCTGATGTGCAGCTTGAAAGTTATAGTTTTCTGAAATTTCTTATATAAGTTATGCATGGATGTATAATTAGGTGATATGGGCAGGCTAGAACCGCATGCATGCGGTCACATGGGAAGTCTAAAACTTCCTGTCTACACATCGTCTGCCAGCTTAGACCAAATGCGAACCTTTTCTATTTATGTGATGTAATTAGTGAATGGTTTCTATATTTAGGTATGCGCTCAAAACGCTCAAAACGTTCAAAAAGTGCACCTGCACTTTTAAGATTTAGTGTTTATAATTGTAGCGGACATCCTCCAACGTCTGATTTTATATGCCTCCTCTGTTGGTGTGATCAAACATCTCGTGAACACGAATCTGCCTTGCCCTGTTCTTCAATACATGGATGAGACTTTGATCATCCTCGAGGCCAATATGGATCAACTAAACCATCTAAAATCCTTGCTACTCGATTTCTCCAAATGCTACCGGTTTGCGCATCAACTTTCAAAAAAATACATTCTCCCTAATACACGTTGATCTGAACCTTTCTCTACCCTTGTGGTGATCCTAGGATGCCCCATTGCGTCCTCCACCAAGTCCAATCTTGGCCTTTGACTTTCCACGCACAAGCTTAATTTATCAGCCTTCTTTTTCATCATCGTTAAATTTGACCGTAGGTTGGCCAGTTTGGCCGTCAATAGGACCCTCGAGCACACAATTTGGATGGTGACCACGGGAATGGCATGCCATTCAGTATGGCCACAATGCACCTGAGGCTAGTTCGATTGTTTCCCTCATACCCTGTGTCCCCTAGTCGCAGAGATCTCACCATCTCACTATTGGGAAACATAGTAGAAAACAAACAAAATTCGCCCGATGACCACCCAGGAACAATATGAAGATGCATATAAGGTTTGGATCATGATCGCTACCGACTCCGGAGTGTAGCGGAAGTAGACGAGTTGGTGTAGATCGTACTTGGAGTCCCTCGTAGCGTAGATGAACAATCCCGTCAACCGCCCATGAACGATCCCTTGAACAGAAGACCAAAAGCACGACCTCTCTACTTGGTTGCAAGCGTACGATCTTCACGACCCGTCACCGTCTAGAGCTAATCGTCGCCGGATAATTAGATGGAGAATATTAGAACCACACTGGGTTTCTAATTACGAGGATTAGATGATCTAGGTCAAGCTCTAATTGATCAACTAGGATCAACTAGAACTAGAACTAGAGGAGGCTCCAAAACTTATGTCTCAATGGAAAAAATCCTCTAGTATATATAGAAAGAGGAGGGGATGCCACCAAGGAAGGAAAAAGTCCCTCCTTGGGGCGCCGACCAAGAGGGGGGAGCCCTCCTAGTCCAATTCGGCCTCCCCCATAGGAAAGAGGGGCACCACTTCCTTATGGGCCCTTGTGGCCCATGTTTCCTTCCACCTCTTGGCCTTTTAAGCCCCGTTGATATTAAATCAAATATAAAGCCTCCTAACAATTACTAGATCCTTTATTATAATTTAGCATCACCGGAAACATTTTTCACCTATATATTATTTATGGGGAATACCCAGTATTGCCTAATAAACTCCGAACTTTTGATGACCCCGAAACGCTTCTAGTTCCTCTCCGAACTATTCCGAATACTAATGAAAAAATTTCACAAATAAATCCTCGATACTCTCGTCCTACTAACACTCATCAGATCATGATTACCTTAAGCTTGTGATCCCGTAGGTTCGGTAAAACATAGACATGAATGAAACCCCTTCGTTCAATGACCAATAGCGGAACCGTGGACGTCCATATTGATACGTCTCCAACGTATCTATAATTTTTGATTGCTCCATGCTACTTTATCTACTGTTTTAGGCAATATTGGGCTTTATTATCCACTTTTATATTATTTTTGGGACTAACCTATTAACCGGAGGCCCAGTCCAGATTTGCTGTTTTATGCCTATTTCAGTGTTTCGAGGAAAAGGAATATTAGACGGAGTCAAAACGAAACGAAATCAACTAGAGAAGTTATTTTTGGAAGGAAACCACCTGATGGACTTGGACCCACGTCAAAATATACAGGAGGTGCTCACGAGGGTGGGAGGCGCGCCCTCCCCCCTGGGTGCGCCCCCCTGCCTCGTGGGGCCCCCGTAGCTCCACCGACGTTCTCCCTGCACCTATATATACCTACGTACCCTAAAACTTCCAGAACAGAAGATAGATCAAGAGTTTCGCCGCCGCAAGCCTCTGTAGCCACCAAAAACCAATCGGGACCCTGTTCCGGCACCCTGCCGGAGGGGGATCCCATCACCGGAGGCCATCTTCATCATCCCGACGCTATCCATGACGAGGAGGGAGTAGTTCACCCTCGGGGCTGAGGGTATGTACCAGTAGCTATGTGTTTGATCTCTCTCTCTCTCGTGTTCCTCTATGGCACGATCTTGATGTATCCCGAGCTTTGCTATTGTAGTTGGATCTTATGATGTTTCTCCCCTCTACTCTCTTGTAATGAATTGAGTT